TTTTTTCTAGTAAATTTTCTAAATATTATTTTTTATTTCAAAGCAAACCACATCTACCTCTCTAAAAACCTGCCACTAAATATCTTACAATAATAGTCCAATACTCCGACTTTTAATCAAATTCAACGCGCATGTCGAAAACTTCTGCACTCTAGTTAGTTAAAAGCCAGTTAATAGACCTACTTCGCTCACTCATTATCGTATTGGAAATTAGAACACTGTGATGAATTATATATATACTATATTAAATATAATATATATATATATATATATTACTATAATATATATAGTATAATATATATTTGTGTAATAGTCGTAGCGCGTCCACGCAGGCATAAATTAGATATAAACCATAATACCAATAATTAGCCTTACCTTAGTATCACACTTATTTTTTCCAAAAGAATATAATTTCACTGCGTCTTTTTCAACCAATGGCACGATTCAAATGTCAAGCTTTGGAAGATGACATGAATCATTCTAATAAATTAATGATCAAAGAGTTCAAGAATCTTTTTTAAAATCTCTTTTTTTTGGAATAACCTCCACATCAAAATCATTAAATAATTAGAATATATTAAAAATTCATTAAATTAAACAAAACAGACAACCTACATAAGAAATAATACAAAAACAACTTAACAATAATAATAAACCTGAGAGATTAAAACAATAGTAAAACTCAAAAGAATAGATAATATTTTGATAAACAAAAAAAGCAATACTTATCCTATTTTATGAGCTGTCTTGAATATCCCTATAGCATTAGCAAGTTCTGCCTCCAATTCATTTTTCATCAACTAAAAGGAAAATTAAAGCTAAATAAAATATAAAAAGATATAAGGAGATTTTCACATAATAAGAGGTGAAATATTGGAATATCAAACAAATACAATAATTAGCATTACCTTAGTATCACACCTTTTTTTCAAAAAGAATATTTCATTGGGCCTTTTCTAACTAAAGGCACGATTCGAATGTCAAGCTCTTGAAGATGTATGAATATTCTAATATTGATGATCAAAGAGTTCAATAAGTGTATTCAAAATCTCTTATTTGGGGAATAACTTATGCATAAAAATCATTAAATAATTAAAATATGTTAAAATTTCATTAAACAAAAGACAACATACATAAAAAAATAATACAAAAACAACTTAGCAGTAATAATAAACCTGAGAGAATGTAACATGGCATCTATAGCAAGCACAACTATTTTAAAAATATTATTTTTAATTGCTTTCTCCATAGATTCTTGGAAATGATCACAAAAATCAAAAAATATTTTATCAATAAAATTAACAAAAATTTTAGTAGAACAAAATGAATGATAAAAAAATGATCAAAAAGAAAACAAATTGTTACTACAACATTTAAAAATGCAATGAACTATATAAAAAAATAGACGGCTGGGATTATTTTGGCTAGATTATCTAATTGCCTCCACCGGTCCCAAAGTAGGGAAGCCGACCGTGCGGGAACCCCTCTGTTTCGCGAACACAGGCTGCGGGAAGGAAAATTTTGGGATAACCTGGAAGCCGTGCGGTATTAAGGGGAGAAAAGGCTTCATTTTAAGTGGGTGGGGCCAGTTCTATGAGGCGTACGCCTCACCCAGAATTGCGCAATTGTGCCTCTGAGGCGCGCCTCAGACCATGAGAGGCGTACGCCTCTGCCAGGAGAGGAATTGTGTAAGCCTCGAGGCATTTTTGGGTCAAATTGCGCAGAGGCGAACCTCAAGGCGCGCCTCTTATTGCGCAATTTTAAACAGAGAAGCAAACATGTAAGGACATTTAAGAAATATATAATAGAAGGTAAAGAACCTAACTTAACAAGTCTAAGGTTGGTGAACAATATGCAATTTCTGGTGTGTGATAGGTCATGCAAGTAGTCAACCCAATCATTAATTTATTATTTCAAATTTAAATATGTTTAATTTTTATCAAGAGGTGATCTCAATTCAAAAATTAACATTTTGTGATTTTTATTTGGCTTTTAAACGGCTTGTAAATAAAATTTTAATTTTTTATTAATATTATCCCCACTTTATGTATAGTATTAGTTGTTATAATTTTATGCATTTGAAGGAATTTATTTTGTATTTTTTTTTATTTAATTCTTAATGAATTTTTTAAGTTTCAATTCAATTAAAATATTTGTTTAATTTGGAGGTGAAAATAAGCTGTTAATTAAAATATTTTTTTAGTTTATTATTTGTTATGATTTTACACATTTATAAAAGTTTATTTTATATTTTTCTAATTTTTATTTATTTTTTTTATGATTTTTGGATTTATGAGTTTGTAGGATAATTTATTAAATTTAGTGGTGCAGATGGAGAGTTAGGCTTAGTTTAAAACAGCTTTATTACTGCTTTCAAAAGCAAATTTTTAATACAAACTTCTTTATCAAAATTTTTTTGTACTAGAAAGCTGTTTGAGAAAGTAATAAGAAAGTAGTCCTAAACGAAGTTGTAATTAAAATATGCACTTAGTTTGTTGTTCGTTATTATGAAATTTTATTTATGTTTTTTTTTAATTTTATTAGATTTTTAATGAATTTCCTGATGTCCTAGTATATTCATTATTTGTTATTATCTTTCTTTCTCTCTTTCTAATATCTTTTTAAACTTGCCTTTAATATTTATGTTTAAATTTGACTACATTAAATTTTAGATTAGATTATATTAGTTCTATTTAAGCCACTTAATTTTATTTATTGGTTTAGGTTAGTTTTATATTTTAGCTAGTGCTGAGAGTTATTTGAATATTATGTTAATTGTCTTGCTTTCTTGCTTTAAGTGTAAAATCCAATTTATTATGTTTCTCTCTCAGATATATATGTATCTATGTGTATATTACTTGTTTTATTTCTTATTAATGATTATATTGTTGATTTGGCTCTTAGAGATAATTTATACAGGTCAGATGAGCTAAGTGTCCAAATAGGTAAATTATTATGAAATAGAAATTAACCTATCAAGTGGGTATGATGCTCCAAATCAAGATCCCATAGTGTCATTGTTTTGGGTTCATCGTTGCCCTTAGCACTCAAATTTAAGTTGAGTTATATCAAATATTAGTATTAAGTTTGCATCATTTGGGAGGTGTTCATTGAAATATTAAGAGATAGCATCTTCTTGCACATTATTTCAGATAACCTAAATTTGTTTAGTAAAACATTTTTTGAAGTAAAAATTTGAAAGTTGGAATATTTAAAACTAAGAAAGCCTAAGATTGGTTGAACAAAGACCCAAGATACATGTCTACAAGATATACTGAATATGTGAAATTATAAAATGTCAATGAATGGTATTGGAAGATTGAGTGGTAAAAACTAATAAATTTAAGTACATTAGATGTGCTTAATTAAAAAAAAAATAGAAATATACATGAGGAGAACTTCTAGCATTAAAACTAGGTGGGTATAATAGAGAAACGTCTTTAAAATATTGTGTAGATTGAAGATTTTATGTAGATTTAAAAGAAATTTTTTAATAACTGTAACTAAACCAGAAAAATTATATTTGATTTTGGCGATGAAAACAAATACATTACTAATACACAAATAGAGCATCCTAAAATAACAAATTTGGAGTAAAACTTTGAAGAATAGAGTTGGAAATCCTTATAGCAAAAATAGACATCAACTATCAAATTATTTGAAAAGAAGTGAAAATTTCCATCAGAAAAATAGGTTATTTGATCTCTAACTCAGACAACCTATTTGAACAAGGGTGAAGGGCTTCAATAAAAAAAATGTTACCTCTGCTGGTTCATACACATTACCACTGGCATTCTATGCAATGCTTTCATACAATAAAGAATATACTGAAGATGATAACTCTTGGCCATCATCTGGAGAAGTTAGCTTTACACCACCCACATGAGCTACCACAACCGTCATCTAAATCATTACCACAAAATCAATTAGAACTTACGATGACCAAGTATAATAGGATAATAGATATGATTAATCTACCCAACTCCCAATAACAGTGTCACTCTAGAAATCATCAGAAGCCAAACTACCTAATTTCTAAAACTAAAATCCAAAGGTAAATCAAAATACAATAATAACAATAATATGATGGAAGCATGGACAATGATACCTGATTCAATGTTAGAATTCCAGTTTTATTGTTGCAGATGGTAGTGGTAGATCCAATCGTTTCACAAGCTGATAGCCCCCGAAGCTGTAACGTAGCCTTAATAATAGTTGAACGTATATATTCTAGTTTGATAAGAAGAGAAGCACACCAATGCTTTGTTTTCCATCATCTTCTTCATTGAGTAGGCAAGACTGAAATTGAGAAAATCAATTAACCATGAGAATCATGAAGAACTTGACGTCATATCATCAAGAAAGAAATACAATCAACACTTACATCAATGTAACAGCCAATGGAAGACCTTCATGTACAGCAACAACCATAATAGTCACCTATTTATAATTCATAGGCTAATTAGTAACTACAATGACAAGATCCAAGTCTTTCATATGGATACATACAACAACAATCAAAATCTTAATAGCTCCATCTACAACATCTTTCACACTTGTATGCCCCTTGACAAGTTGAACACTTCCATCAAAATTCTTTGTATGACCAGTGAAGAGTTTGTAAATTATATTTCAAGTCTTCAGTTTGCAAGATCTAAAATTAAACACATGTAAATTATATCTTGGGTTCATGTTGTCCTTATGATTATAAGGACAAAAGAACAAACGCGGCAATAGAGAGCCCTACTATGCCAGTTAAAGCAGCAACACCATTTAAGAGCACCTTTTCAGAGGAACCATAAATGAATCACATAAGAAAATCAGTATAATCATAAGCAAATCATTAATAAAATGGGCCACAAAAAACTTACAATGGAGTTTGTTCACCACTGCCTTCCGACATACTGGCCATCAATAATCCCCATTCAGTATTGATCCCCACAACAGTCACTTGCACACAGAATAATTTAGAGGAGACACATAAGAAAGAAAAAATAATAACAAAATACATTAAGAATCAATACAGGTAATATAACTTCCAAGGCATAATTACATCTAACTTTGTTTTATGTAACTCTGAGTGAGAGTAAGGTAGAAAAACCCAGAAGCAATCATACCCCTTGAAAATGAAATTAGCATTCAACGCCATTACCATTTGCATCGTTATACTAATGCGCACTATTTGAGGCAAATGAATCATTATAATGGCAAAAACCCATCCATGTTCATTATACAAAAAATAAGATTTCAACTCTAAAAAACAAAATCTTCTCATGAAATTTTTTAAACCCAACCTACGTTACCGAACCACAATAGGGATATCCAATTAAATAGCACTCAGATAATGCTAACAATGTGCCCTTCTAAAACTACCTGCTTCTCATTTGAAATCAATGCCCTGGTTCAAGTAAATCTAAGATACCAACACTAATTCTTATAAATTTATTGCAAATAAATTGCAACTATGGCTCCTTAAAATAATGACAAGTTCCTAGCATGCTTATAAAAAATTGGCTAAAAACTACTTGTGGTTTATCCAGAACATTTTGTTCCAATCATAAGTACTCAAGTGACAAAGCTAGTTTAAAATAATTATCAATCATCTCCTACAGCAAGCAATAATAATACTATAGATATGTGATAATCCCCACACTGCTATTCTACAAGATACAAAAGAAAACAACTCACAAGCATAATCCCATAATCGTCAGCAACTTTGCACCTAGGCATCAAAAATGGTGTTTTGAGATCCTTGTGCGCCTGCAACACAGAATTGAAACAATCTTTTCAGTCTAATGTTGAGAAAGATACAACAACAACATCAATGACCCATTATTGCCAATGACCCACTATAACTCCCACTCACTAAAAGACTACAATTATATGAGAAAAAAAACAAACTCATGGATACATTGCTGGAAGGTCCACCACTTTTCATAAATTAATATAAAGTTGATCATCATACACCTCACGAAGAAATGAACTGCAAGAATCATAAAAGTAGCATACTCAGTTATCACTGAATCAAAAAAAATGAATGCCACTCAAGGTAATTTCGACGAATCAGTCAGAATCACTAACCAATTTAATCGATTCTCAAACATATCATTTTTTTAATATCGACATAGTCAATGCATTTTGAACGCATTTTATATGACATTATAAATAAGAGTGATGTGATTGACATACAAGAATATGTTGGGCATTATATATTTATAATGATATATATAATATAGATCATGTTAAAAATTCAATGATTTGATCGGGTATAGTGTAATTCTCATTCAAAAAATAGAGTTGATTTTTTCTATTGTTATATAATATAAACAAAATTTTCATTACCACAACCGAGGATAGCTCATTTGGTTTGGAGTTGAGAGAGAGGAAATAAAAATGAAATGGAAAAGGATATATTAAAGAACATGAATTGAAAATAGCTTTCCACATTTGTTTGATGGAGGAGAAAGTGAACAACCATGTAATTAATGCTTCGGGATTTACTTTAGCTTTTCCTTGGGTTTCAGCAAAAGCACATAAGAAATACATAAGTTAGAATTTCATTCATAAAATTAATTTTTTTATGTATCACAATTAAACCAAAATGATCAAATTTAACTGTGATGTAAAAAATATTTCTTATCCATTTTCTTCAAAGCAAATGCAACCTATGTAAAAGAAGAAAGAAAGAAATAAGCAAATGAAATAACAGTGTTTCATCTA